AGAACCGTGGAAAATTTTACGGGAATAGCATACTGTAGCAACAGTTGAACTGGTACAAACTGGTGCATAAGTGCACTGTGATGCAAGAAATGAATCACAGCACAGAGTGCATACTCACCCGAGTGGTTGCCCTAAAAGTTCGTGTACATAGTAGAGTGGATAAGTGTAGATAAATTTGGTTACAAAAGGTATAGTAGGCACAAGTCACTCCGGAAATAAAATCTCTGAAAAGGAAAAACATCTTCCGACGAAAACAATAGTGAATTAGAGTGAATCGTCCGCAATGTTGACTGTGTGGAATCAATAACGAAAGACAGGTTTGGTCGACCAACAACGGTCGGTAGGATCCTACGCAGAATGCCATAGAGAAATAGGCAACCGGAAACGACGAAGGTCACGTGATTTTTGAATCGTTCTTTGAACGTTCACTGCCTCACTGAAGCAGAGGAGTGTTTCAGAACAGCCATGAATCCTTGCTCCTCATCTTTTTCCAACTCCAACCACTAAGTCACGAGAAGGAATTCTGAAGTCTTCGAAAAACCGACTGTTCTTTTCTTAGTTGCCAGCAGCTAGAAAGCTTATTTATCATCCAGGTGGATAAAAAACTAGGTCACGAGGTGGCAGAAAGTTTTTTACGCAGAGGTCCGGCGGCTGCATTGGAGAGAAGATCGAAGAACAAGACTTGCCGCCTTAGTACCCCAGGGAACACAATCAAGAGGAGAAGTAGTGAGCAAGCAAAAGTGGGATCATCAAGATGTCTAAGGATAAGTCAAAAGACCGACTTTCTATAAACCTCGGCATGGGACTCCCATTCGTAACATCACGGCTCTGAGGAAGACGAAATCGCCGAAACGTCAGCCATCGACCAACAACACCAACAACAACGACAACGACGAAGAAGACCTATACCAACCTCGCATCAGCTAAAGAAGATTAGTTTATAAGACCATATAAGTAAATATACCAAATGTCTAAGGATAGTCGCGACTTTTGGACGTGGGTGCTACTTAGTGGGCTCATCCAGGTGGATAAAAAACTCCATCTTGGACCGTTTTCACAGTTGTCCGCTATCGTTCACAAGCATTTCATCTACACTTCGGATAGTAGTGCTACTATACCATTTTGTTTCGTGTAGTGAAAACGTTACTGTTCGTAACAAAACAACGTGATTCACAAGATTCGACTAAAAATATGACTTATGCTTCTTATGAAACATCGTCCTATCGACGATTCTATACATGCAGTATGACTTCACACTTTTTGAATTTAATCTCATTAGGGAGAAATGATGTGGAATCGAGCATGAAGAAGACTTGAGAATTTTCTTCGTCGCGCTTCATTTGCCATTGAAAATTAGTAACTGAAACATGGGCTATAAAATGTCTTTTTGAAGGAATTAAAAAAAGACATGACGAGAGAGTGGAAGTTTTTCCTAACTATTGATGATAAGAATTGATTGATTGGTTGGCCACTTTTATAATAATCGACTTGAACCGACTTGATTTAGGATGAGGCTTTTTGAAAGCTCCTTGATAAAGTTCAGTCAACCAATAGGATGATGAGATATTCGCAGAACTTGGACTCCGGGTCAGATCGAACCACAAAAAGGGAATAGTGGTTTGATCTGGTCTGGGTCCATGTTTTGCGAATATCCGAGCATCGTTACAGTTGATTTCGCATAATACCCTGCCGTGAAAATTGTAGTAGGCAGTAAGTAAAAAAGTCGACAAAGTGCAGTCAATTTGGTGGGTATAACAACCTATGCCAATGTCACTATTATTCTTGAAGAAACTGTGGAATTCATAAAGTATCCTACAACTCTATCGTACAGTCGCATTCGGTTTACGGACCAAGGGTGGCAAACTCTCGTTGCTCAAAACAAACAAATTTGTGTTTGTTTTTGTGGAAATTGTGTAAAGAGTGAAAAGCTTAGCAATGTGCAAAAAAGTACCAGTGTTTAACCCACTGACGACACACCTATGGAGCACTTGGGTTACTATTGGCTGGAAGTAGTGTATTTTCAACTTAGAACAAGCATATCCGTACTTACGACCAGAAATGCTAATAGAAATAGAAATTATACCTACAATGGTGTTGAGACATTTGCTAAACTCCGGACTGGAGCTGACTGCGGTGAAGATCGAACTCACTCTCACACTTTGCGGGAGCTAGCGCGTTCACCACCACACCATGAAGATCCTTCGCCTTCGCCTTTCTCTCACTCGTGTTTTATGGGTGCTATCAGCAATCACTGTTCAACCGCATAGATCTGGGAAGCACAAGTAGGAATTGAACCAAAGTTTCGTTGAAGCTGTAGTCAATCCACGATATAGTCACTTTTTTATTCACTGCCTATTCTTTTTAGTAAAAAAAAAAAATAAGAAAAGCTTCGTCCGTATCGAAACACTTTATTAATGCTTTCTTCTGACTTTCACTTGTATTTTACTTATGTTTTTTTCGTAAACGTCACTGAATATTAGTAGAGTTCCTCCCAGCGGTTTACCGCCTCATCCTGGCTGGGAGGAGTTCCTGGGTGTCGAACTGCGATGTACAGCAGGATTCATCCCCTGGCAGGGTCTGCCAAGGTGAGAAGGAGTCCTGCGTTTCCATCAGAAAACCTAGCTAAGAGTAAACCAATACCAGGATCCACCACCGTTCTCGTATCAAAGCCGCATGGTGGTAAATCTCGCTCTGATCCAAAAGGGCTGCGACTAGCTGTGGTGGTGAAGACCTGGGGCAGACTTTGGCCAGGCTGACCTTGGGACTCCAGGAAACCATAATGGCTTAACCAGCAAATCTCCGAAAAAAGGAGATTATACTGGAGCCCGCACAACCAGTGAGGACGGGCCGTTCAAGTATCAGGTATCAAGTATTAGTAGAGCTGCTGCACTCAGAAATGCTGTGATAGCTCTATTACAACGTTTGCAGGTTTTCGTTGCAAACAATTCCACGCTATTATTGACCAGAGTAAGGCTTTTCCACAAAATTTTGTTACCAACTTGTCGAATCGAAGGGATTGGAGATTGGTTGGCCTGGAAAAGCTCGAATGAGAGACCGTGTGCGTTCGACAGTTTACTTGTGGAAATATTAACAACTACGTGAATGTGGTTTAAAAAAATGCTGGTCACCTAAACGCATCTTTCTCTGGTAAAAAAATGTTGTGGGGATCTATTCAATGAAGGGATATCTTTTTGTATATAGATTTCTCCCCCACGAGTTACCTTGTCGAGCACCAAGGACATGACTTTCTTCTCTAAGGATTTAATGAAGCCAGCAAGGCGTGGGGTCATCGCATTGTATGAGATAAGAAAGTAACGTCCGTTAAAATCTGTCTGTAACACCAAACACCGTCTGTTCCAAAAAACTAGATGTTCGCAGGATTATTGTGTTCATAAACACAAGATGGATCATCGATTCTTTCGAACAACTAACAACGCGAATCATTGCGTACCGATAAAAAGGTATGCTACTACGCCAACGTTGACCGCCTTTAATCCCTAGCACCTTCAGAAACCCTATTCTTCACGCTAAATCACTTTTTCTTGACAGACACTATCGGATACTTGATAAATGATACCTAAATGAAAACCACCCGTCCTCACTGTTTGCGCGAGCTCCAGCGCAATCTCCATTTTTCGGAGATTTGCTGGTTAAGCCATTGTGGTTCCCTGGAATCTCGGGGTCGGCCTGGCTAAACTCTGCCCCAGGTCCTCACCACCACGGACAGTCGCAGCGCTTGTGGATCAGAGGAAGATTTGCCACTATGCAACTTTGATACCAGGACCGTGGTTGGTCGTGGTTCTGGCTTACTCTTAACTAGGCTTTCCTGATGGAAACGCCGGACTTCTCAGCTTGGGAGACCCTGCCAGAAGATGAATTCTCCGCTGTACATTGCAGTCCGACACCCAGGAACACCTCCCAGCCACGATGACGCGGCAAACCGTTGGCAGGACACTGTCAGATAGATCATTTTATCAATTACCGCCGATTTTGTTGAAGCACTATAGTTGCTTCAAAATCCCGCACGATTCCGTGCAAACTATGGGAAACGTTCGAAGAGGTTTCAAGAGAGCAGAGGCACTTCTTCTGATGATCAAGCACCTCAGAGGAAATGATTTCCGATAATTCTGATATTGCGACCTACGTGATTGCCTCAAGTAATTGGAGGTCCTCATTACAGTGTCGGTTTTTCATAAAAATTCATTTTTCGAAAAGAAAGCCTACGTTGACCTCAGTAACATAGCAAATTCTGCCTACCACCTTCACCGCGCTAGAAAGGTATCATCGGAAATATGATATAAGTGGCACAAACTAGATTTAGGCAGACTTTGCAGTTCCGACCTTCAATAGCGGTCCTGTCTTTGGGACTTAGAACAACACGCATCGAATATGGAGCAAATCTGCATTGATAAAAGATAAAAGATAAAGCTCTCGGCGTTTATCAATCCCTGAGGGATGCGCGATTCATTCGGCTTCATTGAGCATCGTCGGAGGTGATTGAATGCAAATCTGGCCTTGACTCACGGTGGCCCGCAGATGTATCGAGCCAGTGCTGCTACCCTCTCAGGCAAATCTGGTACCAATTTACAGACCTCGGAGGGATGAAAAGCTTGGTGAGCCACGGGGTCGATGATCGATCCTATGTGTGTGCTGCATGGCGCCTCCGACCACTGTCCCACAGCGCCATTGTTAGAGAGCGCAGTAAAATGAATAGAAAATGTTTCTCTACTCTTTATACTTACTACTATGTATTAAATATCAACTTTATTTCGCGTTTTACTCATATGGCCAAGAAAAGTAGAAGTTCTACAAATTATTGAAATTCGCACGTCGGCGAAAAACTATTTTTTATTGTCACTTGTAATTGGTCTTTCAAGAAATAGATTGAACAAGATTTATGCAAAAGTGTTAACGAACTAGGAACGAAAAACAAGAAGATGTACTCAGTCTAGAGGATGAGTGGATCTCGTATTCAGGAAGACAAAAGACTTAGAGAGCAATCACTTGAAAAACTGTTCGAGATACTTTTCTATGCATCGTCGATCCTCGTAGTTCACGATGAACATGCGCAGATTACCGTCGCTGAGGTTGTGAATGATTCCGAAGCGGCCAGCTGCCAACAAATCCCACATAATCTTTGCGAATTTGGCATATCCTTCTTCTGGACCTGGATCGTGAAACTGGAAATGAGTATTGTTGTTTTAGAAAGGTCGATAAAAGATTACTACGTTGGGAATAGTTATGTAACATTTCATGAGATGTTAAGCCGGAGATTACGGTTTTTAGCTCCGGGTTACTACACACTCTTCTGGAGTCCATTATTTTGAAGCAAACTTGAGTTTGGTAAGGGTACTGCATTCACCGTGAGATGCTAATATGAGCACCAATGCAAGAGTTGTATGAGACATACGTTCAGCTTCAGGAGAGAATAAAAACCAAGGATATACATTGTACCTTCCGAGCAGTGTCTTGTTCTGCTACCTGGAGACAACCACGCAGCCTCATGTTTTCCGTGCATTCGAAATTTACATTTTAAGCCTTTTTTGACGAAGGTTATGGAATTGATTCACTAAGTGGACTGTCTACCGATTTGACCTTTACAAGGTCTAAAAGAGGCGAAACTGCCGAACCTTCACCTATTTCTGCATAAATCTTGTCGGTGACAACGTCGTGTCCGTTAAAGAAGAAAACACGGACTTCTGTACACCTTACATAACCCATGCGCTTCATTTATTCGTTTAATTGCTTTGGAACCGCCATCCGCAAAGGTGGCTACATGTCTTAGTTTGTTAATGGCTTGGAATCTGTCTTCTCTCATGCGACATATTGAATGCTTACGAAGCGTGCTACTTTCTGGAATCCCGAGGTAGCCATTTGGGGCGTTCTCCGATCTTCACTACGGCGAATCACCAACGTTTGTGGATCGGAGGAGAGTCCGTAGAATTGTAGCTAAGGCCCTTCCTGGATGGAGGCGATTTTTGAGATCATTCTGCTCAATAGACAACGATATGATAGGTGAAATTCCTGAGAACACATCATTAAAATTTACATAACTGAAGCTGGACTCCAACTTCCCAGTTCCCTCTATCAAAAATATCATTGTAAATGTGGATAAAAAGTACGAAAAAATAGAAATTATAACCTCACACTCACTTCAACGTTCATATGACAAATATAAATAGCATTTCCAAGAAACATATTATTGACTGCTATCATCGGCAGGAAATCGTACTCCGGTCCTTCATTATCCAAAATCAAGTGGTCGATGAAGTTACGTTTAATTATTTTTAGAAAAAACGTCAGCACGTCGATATGTCCTACGCACATGATCTCGTAACTTCCTGAAAAATTAAAAATACCCAAAGATAGGAGAATAATTACCCAGGGTGTCGATTTTCTTCAAGCCTCAAATCTCACCTATAATTCATCCGCCTATCTTGGAGGATTTCAGGCTTCTATATACTACAATGGCGCATGTGGCGCGGTACTCGGAGGCGCCGTGGTAAAAACACACACGGAACTGATCCCCGCGCCCATGGCTCACCATGCATTCCATCTCCCGGGTTCGGCAAATTGGTACCAGACTTGTATGGGAGGATAGGAGCACTGACTTGATACGTCGGCAGGCCACCGCGAGTCGCAAAGCCAGATGCCCATGAAATCACCTCCAAACAATGCTTAATGAAGTCGAATGCATGGTGCATCCCTCAGGAATTGATCAACGCCGAGAGCTTTATCTTCTTTTATCCTTTTTTTCGAGATTTGCTTTGAAGCAGAGACTATGCAATATTATCTTATAATTATACAAGTGTTAATTATCCAAAGCTGTCCAGGTTACAGACATGCAGTCACGGGAAACGTTTGCGAAAAAGAGAAAAGTAGGGTCATTTGTAAGCTCAACACAGATTTGGTAAGGTGTTGGGCGATGATCTTCACACTGATAATCGGAAAGCGAACGACCAGAGTGAAGCCGTTAAGTTTACAATTGCCGAAAATGCAGTTGTAAATGGAATGGTCACCTGAGGAAGCAAAATAGATGAAAAAAATATTTCCTTTCTTGGGTTTCGTAACCATGGAGTGTACATTTTGCAAGCATACGCTAAGCATTACATCGGTTCTCAATCAAATCCAACAAATTTTTTTTTGCTCATTGTGAAATGTGACGTGGATATCTTCTCCTTTGAAAACATCTTTTAATACACTCGTACTTTGGACCTGAAAGTATTATGCTTGGAGCGAAAAGTCGTTACAACGGATGCAGTAGAGGGCTATGTAAAAGGAACGAAACTTTTATAGAATGGACAATTAGAATAGAAATAGAACTACTTAAGGAATATACATTCGGCGGCCGCAACCTTTCAACGAGGATACAGTCCAATGCAACAAGTTGATAGGTATTCTGTTTAGTGCTGAGCATGAAACTACTGAGCGCTCCTTGATAGGCAAAAGAACAGTGTGTCGTTTCTTAATTTGAGAGCATCTGTTCAAGATTTGGGATTTCTCCTTCTAACAGGAAATAGAAGGTCTATAAAGCAAAGAAAGCAAAACTTTTTTACCGCTGTTGAGACGGATTTTAGACTCTTGGAGGCCATTTTGAGCGCTAACAGCGTAGGGGAAGAACGTTCCCACTTTCTTGAAGAGTGCAGCATTAGGAACAATGACGGGATCCGCACCGAAGAATTCGCTACCCTGAAGCACGGACGTTGGTGAAGTAGCTTGCATATGAGATTGCTAAACTAAGACTTGCGATAAGAGATTCAATTGACGAATCGTGTGTACTTCTTTGTAATTTTTGTTTGCAAACAAAAACGAAGGATCAAGTTTTTAGTCAAGAAAAGTTTTTGGTTCGAAGATCAATAGAACTCCTATGGGACTCATTAGAGGAAGGGTATTAATCAGAAGAGCAGGAAATATTCTGGGTACGATTAATTAATCTTTAGCATGAATTGGGCCCACTACGTCGAATTTGAAGACGTTTACACTTTTACATTTTCACAAACAGTTAAAAAAATATTCGTTCACCTCTGGCAGTAATTCCTTGAGTTTTTCCTCAACTCGAATATCAGCTCCTATGCCCAATGACACTACGACGCTGGGATTGGCCACCTGTTTGAAAACTGCATCGTAAAAAAATCAAATGGAGAACAAAAAAGTTGGTTAAATAACTATTTGTTTATTCAACAGGACCAGTCTTTGACACCCACTGCGCGCATTCCAGCACTTATCGCCATTTCGTCTTTCTCGTATTCATCGTCCAGAAATGTCTCCGAAGGTTTCGCGTGTTGTTACGACTTTGTTGCTTGAAGATTTTCCTTTAGGCATGAATGTAGTTGAGTGCTGCTCAGGTCGATTCCCTGGAGTTCTGGAGCTACAGCGTTTCCATTTAGATTGCAGAGAGTGAGCTCTTTCCTGACAAGCCTTATACCTATTTTCCGATCCTAGATGAATAAGAGGCTTGGTAGGCCCAGTGCAGGTGCAAGCCAACACCGTGCTTGTGACGAACGGCATCACTACCACTGCGCTACCCAGAACCTGTGATTGTCTTGGTTGTCGAAAATTTATGTCGTTTTTACTCTTCATTTTGTTGCACCTGGTTTTTGAAAGGAATTTTATGTGTTTGTGTCCATGTTACGTAAAAATTTCAACAGTAGTCTTCGCTTCAGAACTTTAAGTTTATGATAGCCAGCATTGTGAAAAAGTATTTCTGAAGGTTTGTATAATTGAATTTAAAAGCGACTAACAATGGAAAGGTTCCATGTACTCAAGAAACCGTCAATGATCTCACAGTACAACATGGTTAGAGGAGTTTTTTGACAGAGGAAAGGATAGGAAGATACGAGGTCATCCACACCAATAGACAGCCATTTGAAGCTGTTAGACGAAAGGATTCGCAGAAAATGGTTAGGGAGTCAGCGGAAGTAAGACGCGTTTGTAAAGCAGCGCTTTCAGATTTAGGCAATAGTTCGACAAAAATGAATCAGCAGAACACTTCTTGAAGAACTCAGATTTGCAAAAAATGAAGTATATGATGGATATGTAATACGTTCTTCGATTATTAAACAAACACGGGCTGACAAATAACAATTGTTTCACTAACGCCTCGATGTCCCCACCTTCCTCAGAGCCGAATTGGTCCAAGTCAACGATCCACGGGTAAAAAAAAGGTGGATTTTCTTTTGTTTGGAGGACAAAATCGTCCACTACTGCCTCTTGAATCCTATATCCTTAAAAGTGCTATGACAGATAATTATTGTCAGCGCATGGATAACATGCAGTAGGCATTCTACGTTTGCCAAAGACAATCTGAAGAAACGAATTCCGGTACCTAACGTAACGGTGAAAATTTGGATTCTAAACTTCATCCTCTGCAGGATTTCTATTTAACCGCTTGCTAGTCGGCAGTTACTAATTCGCTCTCTCGACATCTGCTTGTTCAGGAACTCTCCAACAATGATGACGCTGCCAAAACTAACTGCGATATTTGCGCTTCATTTTGAAGGCTTGAAAAAACCGTATGGCTATTGCTAAAGCCTAAAAGTATCTATTGCTTACATTTTTACTTAATATATAGTGCTTAGTTCCATCGTTGCTTTCAAACGGCACCAGTTTTATCTTCGAAACTCTGGTGATCGACGTGCAGTGTGTAGTGATGGCAGCAAAATTGTTCCAAATCTAAGCAGTAGAAAGTATAAATGTGTAGAAAACATCAGAAAGACCAAAGGAATAGCTTAGCTACAAAAAGGAAGATGAGCCGTTCACCTTTTCCGGTGTGCTTCTCATGCTATCCAGATGCGCCATAGTGCATTGATTCCAATCGGTGAATGCTGCTATGACTGCTGCACGAGCGACCACATCCTCAGATGGAGCATGGTTGCGCTTCGTGTGGATGAAGAACATTATCAACCCAAGCAGTACAACGGCCAAAACGCCATAAGCAACCGACAGCCTCATCTAAACATTCGACTTCTTATAAGAAGGATAAGGACATAGAAACGAAAATGCGTCATGCAACAGTAATTCTCCGTGAGTTGACACCTTGATAAATCCTTGGATAATCAATGGTACTTAATCAACGTATACGCCGGCGAACTAGGAAACAGCATTTGAAAAGCAGCCGAAAACTAGTGAATAAGCAGTAAAAGGTTAGAGGGTGCACCTATGACAGTTGATCAATCCCAGAGGCATGAGTCATGAATTTAACTTCACTGAGCATTGTAGAGGTGACTGAGTGCACATCTAGGCTATACAATGACTTGTAGTGATCTACGAATGTATCAAGCCAAGCTGCTAACCGCTCAAAGGAATTCGGTATCGACTTGTCAACTCCGGGAAGGCCTGATAAGCCTAAGTAAAAGGATAAAAAGATAACGCTCTCGGCGTTGATCAATTCCTAATGGATGCGCCAATCATTCGACTTCATTACGCATCGCTCAGAGGTGATCGAATGCATATCTGGCCTTTTTACAATGACTCGCCGTGTCTTACCGATGTATCGAGCCAGTGCTGCTATCCTCCCAGACAAGTCTGGTAGCACCGACCCCGAGGGATGGAACGCTTGGTGGGCCATGGACGCAGGCATCGATTCCACATGTGTGTTGCAGAGCGCTTCCGATCACTGTAATAAGATTAAGTAGCGGAGTCGAACCAGTTACCATGGCTGTACTGAAGAACACCTCTAACTGCCACGCCACACCCGTCGTAAGTAAATCACGTACTAAGCAAATTCACGAGTTTTCTGACCTATGAGTGGAACTTTAATTACTACTTGATTTCCCATTCATGTACGCATCAAGCTGAAGACACTGAGTATTTTGGTAAATTCACCGCCTTAAAACAGCGAAGACAGGAAGCTTCCAAGCTTGGAAAGTGCGATTCTGAGAGCTTAAATGTTTTCCTCATTGTGCTTCTCGTCAATAAATAAAGCAATATTCTAAGGATTCTATGTATTGTACCACAGGCAATTATTATTTGAATCAAAAGAATAAAAAAAGAAGCAAAAAGAGAAAAAAAGGTGGTAGCAGTTCCGAAGTTTTCTTATCGGACAGTCGACGTAAGTAGGCCGCACAATATACTATCTAACGGCGCATAACAATCTCTTTCCATCTGACACAGTAAGAACTCGATCCACTCTCCCAAATGGGAGCGAAATTTCGTCAATGCAACCATTCAGATCGATGCTGGCATCGTCCAGATGGGAGCTCACCGTAGATTCACCATAATGGCACCAACTGCTGAATATCGAATACTCCAGCAGGCTGCTTGGATTTCAATGGTTCTATCATTTTTGCTCGGTGAGTCGCCTTTTTACCTCAAGGTATGCAAGCATTTTATTAGGTTCTCCTAATTACAAAGCTATGTTGTTCAATATAGCGTCGCATAGTAAACGAAGAAATGAAGAAAAGTGAGGGACTAACATAAGCCGTACTCTGCTATTTTCATCTCATTCAACGAGAACTCCTCTTCCGGAAGACAACAAAGCTTTTCCGCTCGAAAGATTTAGCATTAAAGCGCTCAGATGTCGTCGTTCAAGTAGTGTTTTATTCGCACTTTTCAGCTATTTCACTCATCTTCGTTTAAGCTAGAAGGAAATCTGTCCTTCTGTTAACTTATTGACCCCGAACAATGTTTCTAGCCTGACCCTATCCACATAATATTTTCTTCTATTCGTGAGCTTACGCGAAGCTGATACAAAACTTTTATTCCGATGAGGCTTCAGGTTTTCATCCTCTTCAGAATCGCCAGGTTTCTGGTCGAACGTCCACAGCCATTCGTTCTCACCTGTTCTTCTGCTTGTCCTCGTCCTTATTTCCTATCGTTGTAGCTGATCACATTGGAAAGCAACGTTTCCAGGGTTTTTTGACTTTTATTTGCTTCCTATTCTTCTTTTATGGCAAGGTGCGATGTGAAACTCACCTAAAAGTAAGCTAAGATAATGTTAACTTTTTATTTACTGCCTGCTACAATTTTTCATGGCAGGGTATTACGTGTGATACAACCACAATGATGCTGAGATATGTGCAAAACTCAAAACAAAAAAAAGTTAGCATCATAACTTCGGCTTAACTGGGTTCGTTCCCGGTTTGGACTACCCAGATCAATCCCGCTGACGGGTGATTGCTTATGGCAGAGATCGATAGAACTAGCTCAAAGACAGGCGATACGAAAGACCCGCATGGTGTGGCGGAGAACGCGTTACTTCCCGAAAAGGACAATAGCGCGTTCGTTCCCCACCGCAGACACCTGCGGTCAGGAGATTTGCAAACATCTCAGGATCATTGTGGTTATACCTCACATCATACTCTTTTTTTATTTTTTTTATATAATATCTCCAAAATCTTTATAATCCCAAAATTTTATTTCAGAAAGCAGAATATTTTTTTAATACGCGTGATAAAATGGCCTTCACGAGGAATTTCTGAAGGTGCACATGCAGTTGAATAGATCCAGCCGGTCGATTGCCGTTAGATGATCGTGTGCGCATTTGCGCGTTGATCGAAGATCCGATTATACTTCACTTTGTTTCTTCCATCGAGCAGCTTCCTATAGCTGCTGGGTATTTCATCTGAAACGTTCAATGCTGAGGAGTATACACAGTGCAGTTCTAAAAGCCTGAACTTTTTCATCTTTGTGACCTTTCCAGCTTACGAATAAGACAGCCATTCGCATAGGTGTTGTAAATGACGAGTGGTATCCCTTTTATTACGAAGGTAGCAGTTTTGTTAAAGAGGTATCGTCTAGCTCATGACTAAATGACGTATCTATATAGTAACTACTCCCCGATTAGTTACTACCACTACTCTCATCCTTCCTGAGACGAATCAATCGATGTTACAAGTTACGCTTCATGCTGTGAATCTATTCCGTATTATGTTTTGTATCTTTTCATCTCGGACTAGCACACCACCCACTGTAGCTGCATCTCCTTGATTGTTGCCCTCTAAGCTCCTGCATAATGATCCTCGGCCAACTCTTCAGTTCCAAAGGCTCCTCATATCCGCTGATCCGCTATTGATCTGTAGATGCATAACAGTATCACTTCCATGCACTTCCTCCCTACCATACTCTACTGGCAACAATGTGTAACATTTCTCTATCATATCACTTTAACACCATTGCATAAGATATTTCACCATTGCCTTCGCTCCCTGTTGTTCTCGATATTATCTATAAATACGGCTCAAGCTATAAATTGTTTTTTTTTGCAGTTATGGTCTCATTGTCGCCATTGCGTTAGCAACGTATTATTGCTGTCATATAGACGGTGAAATCATCCGGGTTTGAAATGGCAACGAAAAGACTCGCGCCGTAGGAAATATAGCACAAAGCAGCAAGTTCGCTACAGTATACGTTAGTTGTGTGAATCCCAAATTCAACAGCAATTTTGGTTCAACTGGGAAATCAAAAATCTATGGAAGAAGCCTGGTATGGGCAGAAATGTATGAATTTAATTCTTCCAGAATTTTCGTTGTTTTTCTTTCATAGTGTTTCGTCTCGTTTTCTGGGAAAAAATAACCAGTGCTATTGTCATCGCCTGGCACAAAATCCAGAAGACGCAATCCTGTCTGGTTAGGACATTTTGAAGTGTGTGGCCACATAGAATCTTTCGAGTTATAGATTTTAATTATACAGTAGGACCGTTGCGAGGTGCTACAATCGCATTAAATTTGAGATATTTTGCTGCCTCAAAGAATGACTTGAGATTGGTATCAGACTTGTTTGGTGAGTGATTACTACCTGAGATATTTGACTTTACTACCTGAAATACATGCGGATGACCTTTCTGACACCTCAATATAACCATTCTTCAATGTTTCTAGCATCCTTGGCAAATGGTCAACGAATATCGGACGGAAGTTTACTTTTTGCTTCTAGGTTTTTAGTACCTCTACAATTTCTGCGTTTAGCGACCTATTGACTGAAGAACAAGTTTCCTGTATAGATGCTAATCTACTGAAGTGTCATCCACTCATAACTGATTCATCGCTTATGTTTATACGACCCGACGAAAATCAAGCATAGCAATGTATCTCATTGCGACAGTATTGTTCTCCGCCCCTTCTGAATTAGTTAGTCTCTGGTGTGCAACTACGATTTACGCCCGCGTTCTTGAACAAGTATCACCCAGACTGAAAAAGACCGATATTTCCACCGAGAATCAACAAATCTAACTTGTTGAATATCCCAAATCCCACCCATGGCCATATTATAGGGAATAGGGTTGCAAAAGTTTCGCAATTCTATTAGGTCTAATGCTAAAGTACCTTATAGGGAATAGGATCCAAAATTTGGTCTTGCGCAGAAAAGTGTGTCGTTCTTCTTATCCAATGAACATGAGGATCTCACTAAGCAGCTTTTTACGCAACACTTAAGTCAAAACAGTTGAGTTTATCTACTACTGATATCATAGAATATTTCAGATTCTGACTTCAGGTCTACTGCCCGCATATGACGACACAGAGTTATCGGAGTTATCCATCATTTTCAACTTTATTTTTACTCTTGTGAGTTTAAAATGTATGAATTTCGTTCTTCCAGAACTTTTGTTGTTTTTCTTTCAGTGTTTCGTCTCGTTTTCTGGGAAAAAATAACCAGTGCTATTGTCATCGCCTGGCACAAAATCCAGAAGACACAATCCTGTCTGGTTAAGACATTTTTGAAGTGTGTGGCTATATAGAATATTTCGAGTTATAGATTTTAATTATACAGTAAGACCGTTGCGAGGATTTCGTTCACAACAGTGCTCCTTTCAAGTATGAAAACGTGTTCGAACACTATTCCTTTATACAATGAACCGCTTTTAATGTGGCTAACTCTTACTAATATGGGTTGGCCAAATAGACTCACACGACCGACTTTCTCTTAACTTCGGCATTGATTGATAATTCGATGTTTTTCTTCAATAAGCAGACACGAGGTTGTTATTGTAGGATTTATTAGGATACAATAGCTGA